TGTCCTGGGGTCCCTGTGTTTCCAGTTTCTATCTGTACCCGTGTACATCCACTGGTCTAGTTGGATTTGTAAGGTAGAATTGGGGTCATGATAGTGGGTGAGGGGGGAGGAAGCATTAAAGAACTAGAGGAAAATTATATGTTTCATCATTGCTATAGTAAGTCTTTCAACCCATGAATTCAAAACATATCTTTAATTATTTGAAGACTTATTCAATATCTTTCAGCTATGTTTTATAGTTTTCATTGCATAAATCATTAAGATCCCCAGTTTTATTCTTAGGTAGTTTATTATCTGAGATGGTATTGTAAATGGAACCAAACTAATTTCTGTTTGTTGACCTTGTACCCTACAACTTTGCTAAACTCTACTGGTTCTAGAAACTTTCTTGTAGATTCCTTGAGATTTTCTATATGCAGCATCGTATCATTTACTAATAGAGATACTTTTACTTCTCACTTCCCAGTTTCTATGCCTATTATTTTAGGATTAGATTTTGTTTGTTTGTTTGCTTTACTGCTCTGCCTGGAATAATTGATGGATAATTGATGGAAGTGGCAACAGCTGACATCTGTGTCTTATTCCTGACTTTAAAGGGAAAACTCTCAATCTTTCTCCACCAAGTTTAATTTTCGTTGTTGGCTTTTCATACATGAGTATGCTCAATATGATTATTGAGGAACTTATCTTTTTTCCAATCTTGCTGAGGGTTTTCATCAACTATGTTAGATTTTATAAAATAAAGTTTCTTGTCTGAGGTACACTTCTAATTGTTTTCAAGGTAGGGACTCTTGTGGATACTTGCTCAAAACCAAACTAAACTCACTACCATGAAGTCAATTCTGTCTCAGTGTCCCAATAAGACAGAATAGAACTGTCTCTGTAGGTTTCTAAGACTAAATCAGCAGTTCTCAACCTGTGGGTCGCGACCCCTTTTGGGATCAAGTGACCCTTTCACAGGGGTCTCCCTATACCTAACAGTAGCAAAGTTATGAAGTAGCAATAAAAATAATTTTGTGTTTGGGTGGCCACCACAACATGAGGAACTGTATTAAAGGGTCGAGGCAAAGGAAGGTTGAGAACCACTGCTATAAATCTCGATGGGAGTAGAAAGCCTCATCTTTCTCCCATGCAGTGGCTGGTGGTGTAAAACTGCTGACCTGACGGTTTGTAGCCCAACTCACAATTCACTATATTACCAGGCTTCTGGATACTTTCTAGTGACCACAAAATTAAGTAATAACCACAATCTAATGTGCTAAATGCTACGAGAGGATGATGAATTCGGGTTTATGGGAAGACACAGAAGGAAGCCACGAATTCTCTGTGGAGGTCAATCTTGCTGGGCCTGCCCATTTGGTTCCTGTAGCAACCACCATTGGCCATTAGGGGGCCTAGTGTTTAATAACATCATGGTTCTGACTTCATGCTTTAAAGAATAAGTCATTTGGTTCAAGCTCATCTTTTTTGCTCTGTAACTTGGACCAATTACTAAGTTCTATTTTCCTCACCTGTTAAGTGGGGGGCAGGGTGGGGAGGGGGCTGGGCATCAGTTATTGTGAAGTTAAATAACTGGAATATAAACCTGCTTGTCACATAGTGAGTACTGAAGAGATGCTAGCTGCTAGGATTATTGGCCTGTGGGCTCCTTCAAACTAGGGACACAGAGCTTGTGGAGAAGAGGAGGCAGATAAGGGATATGCACATTAAATGTTCTCTTAGATACTGGGTTCTTTATACCCCTCATACTTTGGGCTCTCATACTTTGGTTGATGCCTTTTCTGCCACTTCCCCTCTGGGTTCTTGTTCCTAGAATGCCTAGGTTGTACGGAATATGTGCTTCGCCTCTCGGGAACAACTCTCCATTTACGTCCATGCAGCACGTTCCTACTGGAAAACATAGATTCTGCCAAATGGAAAGTGCGGTTCCATTCAAAACCAACATCTCATGTGATACTGACTCAGAAAAATGGCTATGATGTGCACCGTGAATCTTGGGTTCTGAATCATTTCAACAAAAGACATGTTGGTATGTGCAAAGACTTGACTCTTTTCATCAATGCATCTCAGCGTCAAGACAGCGGCATCTATTACCTGGATGTCACCTTGAATTCTGGGAAGATTAACAGCAGTCAATTCCATGTTACTATATTTGGTGAGTCCAGAGGTTAGCCTGTCCTCTCACTCCTGCAAATACGTGTATTTTTAATGCATTTCTTACCAGAATCTCTGCTTCCAGATCATGTTGAAAAGCCTCACTTGCAGGAGCAGGAGGAGACCCTCGTTAATGGTATGTGCCAGGTGACTCTGTCCTGCTCTGTCTCCAAGGATGAGAATGTGAGTTATGCTTGGTACAGAGGAAGTGAGCTGATCCAGACATCTAGGAACCGAACCTACCGGGTGGAGCAGATCGATGTTGGAGTCTCACACACATACACCTGCAATGTCAGCAACCCTGTCAGCTGGGCAAACCACACCCTCAGCTTCACCCAGGGATGTCAGAATGCTCATCAGAGTAAGTAGGCCACTCTGGGTGTCACTGGGGCTCAAGGAGTTGAGCCAAACAACCAGGCTCATGTGCAAAAGAGACCTGGTATGACAGTCTTAAACTACAATCCTGCAACGGCTCCTGACCATTCCTCCAAGAGACTGATGGAAACCTACTTCTTCCAACTGAGTGATAACTTGCCCCGAGCCATATAATTCCCCCCAAAGATAACGACCATGCACAGCAGTGCCCTGAGCAGTGGGCTTTGGGTTTGCGTTTACATGTTCTGAAATTTACCCCGAGTTAAGTTTACATAAATTTACCCCGATGTAATGGGCCATCAGTATGGCTTTAGAGGGAAAAAGCAACATGCTATCCCTCTCTGTAAGGATATTATGCCCAAACTGGGACCAAAAAACTTAGTATTTGTGGCAAAAAGAAATGGATAACATTGAGCAACAGGTGTAGTGACAAGGACAATGGCTTTGGGGTCGTTAATAGGCATCCACCATTCAAAAGCTTTATGGTCTCGGGCAAATTCATCAACTTCTCTGAGTATAATATTTTCCCCTTTGGGGTAAAATTGGGATGGTCATAAGATTGGTATTAGGTTTCAATGAGATCACGTTGGTAAAGAACCTAGTTACCCAGCAGCTGAAACATTTAATTTCACTCCACTTCCCTCTTGTTGGTTGCATTATATACAGAGCAGCGAAGGCACAAGGACTTCACCAGGGGTTTATCCCCATTT